TTGGGATACATAGCCTTTATCATTATCCCAAAATAAACCTAATGTACAAAACCATGGCCTCTTGAATTTCAGCTTTTCCTCTTGGAAAAGCCCTGTCTGGCTGCAAGGAGCATGACAAAGAGGGCATTCAGGGGCCTCTGAATCATGGCAACAGGGGGCCTGGATGCTCACTGCCCTCAGTGTGCCTGGGTCCCTTGAGAGAAGCTGACCTGCTTTTTAATCTGAAGTAGAATGAATAAGGTGGGGGCAGAGAAAACCTTTGCATTCCATCACCACAGGTGAAGTGGTTCTGCTTGTGCCTGGGGGAGTACACTGGCCTCTGATCTCAAATTGTCTTTATTATTAAACCAAATTGCCCATGTACCTGACTTGCTCTGAACTTTGTCTCAAAACACTCAGAGCATTCTTATGACATCATATTGGGCCCTGGAGCCCTGAACTGCTTTCCTGGAATGATGTAACTGTAGTCCACAGCCCACCAGTGAATCCAGCCCTGAATTATGTTTTTGAACCCCATCAGGAGCCTAAAATTAGGACCCTATAGCTTTTGTGTCTGCAAAGATGCTCAGAGGTATAATTTCTAGAGCTTTTTAATCTATGGCCATCTGCAGTTATGAGCCACTGATTGCATTTGCCATGGTATGGGCATGATCTACACATGGTTTCCTTAAAGCATCCAACACAGACTATGGGAAAAAACAACATAATTGGTGGGGTTCCTGGCTCACTGTAGCTCCTACCCACCTATAGAGACTGTGTTTCTTTGTGTGCTGTTTCCACTGAGAAGGGGTGGGGAGGGATCTGGGTGGATTTTCCACTAGTCCCTCCCAGGCAGAAGGCATCAATGCCCAGTGCTCACCAAATATGTGTGAACAAACAGCTTGCACCACAAGATGAATATTTGGGAGCATCTTTGCTAATGTGATAAAGTCATGAAGTAATTCTCTATTTCCAATTGGTGGTTAGTCAATATACTCAACCTTTCTATCCTGTCCTAAAGCACAGCAGCCTACAGTGACTGACGATGTCCCTTCCCCAAGATTCTACATCTACTGGAAATGAAGAATAAAGAATGTGTTTTTAGGAGTAGGCTACAGGTGATCCCTTAACTATCAAAATTACCTTCATCCAAAGCTTTCCAAGTTGAGTTAATGATCGACCACAATCAATTTCTATTGTTCTCAGTTGAAACTCTTTTTAAATAGCTGGAAATATGTGGCTTTATTTAAATTTATTTATTTATTTATTTATTTATTTATTTATTTATATTTTTTAATTTATGATAGTCACACAGAGAGAGAGAGAGAGAGGCAGAGGCACAGGCAGAGGGAGAAGCAGGCTCCATGCACCAGGAGTCCCACATGGGACTCGATCCCAGGTCTCCAGGATCGCGCCCTGAGCCAAAGGCAGGCGCCAAACCGCTGCGCCACCCAGGGATCCCTAAATTTATTTGTTTAAATCCAAGTGGCAAGTTCCAGTTATGGAAGGGCTAACATTTCTTTGATTCTGATGTTCTGTGGACAGATAACTAAATGTTTTAACTCTGGAGCCACTTTCACGTCAAATAAACCCCAGTTCCCATCTTAACCAGGAGCTGCTCAGCTTATGGTAAAAAGCAGGTATATGTTCTTTCCCTTGGCGCATGTAGCCCAGATGAGGATCAGTTTACCCACGAATTCATTCTGAAGTCATGAGCCCTCCGTGGTACTTAAAATATGCATTAGACTTTTTTTTTAAAGATTTTATTTATTTATTCATGATGCATGACTTTTTTTTTTTTTATGATAGTCACAAAGAGAGAGAGAGAGAGAGAGAGAGAGAGGCAGAGACATAGGCAGAGGGAGAAGCAGGCTCCATGCACTGGGAGCCCAACGTGGGATTTGATCCTGGGTCTCCAGGATCCCACTCTGGGCCAAAGGCAGGCGCTAAACCGTTGCACCACCCAGGGACCCCCTGCATTAGACTTTTTAACCAAAAGTATGAGTTGGAAAAAAAAAAAAGTAGGAGTTGGGCTTGGTACTCTTCCACAGGAAGGAAATGGTTATCTTGACTTTGACTTGTGACTAAGAGGTAGAACTTGTCACTGTACCTAGAGTTCCCACCAACCAGGTCAGAAGCTAGTTGCATCTAGTTGCCTAGAGTCCTGGGAAAATTTGATCAGGTTTCTCTTCTAGTGCATCATTTTTTTTTTTAAGATTTTATTTATTCATGAGAGACACACAGAGAGAGGCAGAGACACAGGCAGAGGGAGAAGCAGGCTCCTCGTAAGGAGCCCAATGTGGGACGTGATCATGGGACCGGGATCATGCCCTGAGCCAAAGACAGACGCTCAACTGCTGAGCCACTCAGGCGTCCTCATGCGTCATTTCTGATTCTAAGCTTAAAAGTGGCTCTTAGGCTCCCAGTCTACAATGTTGGAATCCCTCTCACTGCAACCACCACCCTTACACCATGTGGGGCTTCCTCCACACTTAGGCCCATTTCTATGTCTCATCTGGTACTTTCTGCGGGATGGGGTGGTGGTGGTGGTAAATGACCAAAGAGGAGAACAGGTACGGTTTCTTTCTTTTTCTTTTACGTTTTTAAAAATTTAAATTCAATTTGCCAACATGTAGACAGTACAGTTTCTACGAACATCTAGAGAGCTGAAGAATGCTTCTGCTTCCTCATTTTGGTCATGGGGACAAATTTTCAGATGTCAAGAGGTAAGTACTCTTTTGGTGTATCGATTAGGTTTACTTTCCATTATGCTATTTTGAATAATCAAAGCTTTGTAAATCTTATAATTTAAAAATAAATTACTTAAGAACAAAAAAAAAAGGGATTCCCTGTGTGGTGCAGCGGTTTAGCGCCTGCCTTTGGCCCAGGGCACGATCCTGGGGACCCGGGATCGAATCCCACGTCGGGCTCCCGGTGCATGGAACCTGTTTCACCCTCTGCCTATGTCTCTGCCTCTCTCTCTCACTGTGTGCCTATCATAAATAAATAAAAATTTAAAAAAAGAACAAAAAAAAGGAACACAAATGAAATAAGTAGACCTAACTTTTATAATTTTCAGTAAAATCTCCATGTTCTGAATCTTGCTGGCTAATGTCTTGGAAGGTACATGGGGAAATCCCTGTAAAAGTTATTAATCCCAGATCAGAAAGGATATTGTACTCTTACGTGGGTGAACTCAAGGGCCACTGGTCAGCCAGGTGTGAGTCATCATCTCCATGAGCCCCCTCACCAAGGCCCATGCTGGTTGAATGAGATCCTAAAACCGTGTGGTCAATTAGGTCAATTTGAAGAATAGGGAAGGAACTTCTTGCTACTACCCAAGCAGCTTCCAATCATGGTGATTATCACCTTCTGCTCTGCTCCTTGCATGGAAGGGTGCCCCTCCTAAGGATGCTCCAACTATGCAGAACAGCAGGGGTGAACCAGCCTACAGTAGAAGCAATGACTCTAGTTTCTGAGGAACTGGTGATGAGACTTACATGACCTGAGGTGTTGTGAATGGAAGTCTTTATTCTCCTGGAATCTGAAAGCAGAAACCACCCCTGTGTGGGCCCATCAGGATCCTCACTGCACTGGGGGAGGACAGTTCTCAGAGCACATACACCTGGCATTGTGTGACTGAGGAACTTTCCTAAACCACCGTATAGATGCTATTACTTCTCCACAGATAAGACTATTCACAGGTTTCTTACTGCTGTCCTAAGGTAGACTTTGAAATTTTTCACTTACCTCTATTAATCACCACCGGGGTGGGGGTAAGAAGTAAAGATCTGACAGGGAAGATTAACCTGAGTCCTAGGTTCTTTGCACAATTTATACAGCAGATACCCTACCTCTCCCACCTCCTGGTCTCTGTTTCCTTCCACAAAGCACCAAATGCTGTTATTTTGACTGTGTAACTCTTGGAGAACTGAAAGTTGCCCAGCTATTGAATATAAAGACTTTGGCACAATTTGTCTTTATCAAATTCCTGTTTGAAGATTAACAATCCGGATGGGACGATCTGACAGTAGGGCCCCAGGTGACAGCCTATGCCCTATGCCAAGTCCTCATCCCCTTTCCTCAAGGTGAAATGGCCACCTGGTTTCTATATTCCGTTGCTTGGCATCACCAGGGAACTTGGAAAGACCTGCCACGGAATCTCCTGCTCCTCCTCCCCGCCCCCTTCCCAGGGACCCAGGTTTGGGACCAACTGCCTCACTGCCATTTATCTTCCAGGCGCATTCTGGCTCTGCTATTCTGATCCGATACAACTATGGCTCAAAAGGTCTTGGGATCTGCCTGAATAAAGTTACCCATATGCCTGGCTGGCCTGGAATGAAGGCACACATTCAAAAGGGGAGTGTTGCATGACACTGGTGAATGATGCTGCCGTTTACTTTCCACAGAGAGCTCGAGCATTTAATTCAGACACAGGTCTCCTGCTGGACAGGGTCCTTCATCAAGTGCTTCACAGCGCAGGGTCTCCCTGGCTCACATTACCCGAGAGTAAGTGACCTCCTGAGGTCACCTTGCCAGCGGCCCATCGCCCCACCCCCACCCCCCCGCGCGCCACTACAGGTATCTGCCTGTGAGCTGGGGGTGGGGGTGGAGGGGTCCGCAGGCCTCTGGACTCCCTCCAGCAGCCCAGCAACAAACGTGCCCCAGGCCCCGCAATCACTGCAGTGTCTGCGGCGGGGTGCCGGTTACACCGGCTGAGAGAGCCTCGGGAGCGCGCCTTCCTTCGGCCGGGATCCCAGCCTCCCCCCAGCCTTCCTCTCCCCTACCCCGCGCCTCTCCCCCCTCCGCCCCGCCCGGCGCCCTCCCAGCTTCCCTCGGCTCCACCGCCGCAGCGCAGACCCGCTCCACTCCCTCCAGTCCCTCCCCTCCCCCTCCCCCTCCCCCTCCCGCCCCGCCCTCACCTGCGGCCGCTCGCAGGGGCGGGGCCGCCCGAGGATGACAAAGCAGCGGCCGGCGGCGCGGGACCCGCCCCCCTGCGCTGGGCGGGTGCGTCGGCCGCCCCGGCGCGGCTGTTATGGAAACGGGCAGGGCGCGCAGGAGGCGATAATGGGGCGGCCATGGCCGGGGCCGGCAGGTGCAGCACGGACGCTGCCGGGGCGCAGGGGGCCGGGGGCGCCGGGCGGCCGGAGCCGGGGGAGCTGTCCCTGGAGGAGGTGCTGAAGGCCTACGAGCAGCCCATCAACGAGGAGCAGGCGTGGGCCGTGTGCTTCCAGGGCTGCCGCGGGCTGCGGGGCGCGCCGGGTGGAGGGCGGCGCATCCGGGACACGGCGGACATCCTCCTGCGGCGGGACGGCTCGGTCAGCGCGCGGCGGGAGCCGGGAGCCGCGGGTGAGGCCGGCGGGGGTGTGCGGTGTCGGGTGCGCGGGCCGCGACCCTCCGCTCCGCTCCCCTACCTTCTGTCCCAGCCCTCCGCTACCCTCCCCTCCACTCCCCTCCCCTGTCCTCCTCGGCCTTCCCCTCCTCTCCCGACCCTCCCCTCCGTTCGGCCCCTCCCCTCCGCTCCCCTCTTCTCTCCCCCTCTCCCTCTGCTGGGCCTGGAGTGGAGCCCCCATTCTGCGCCCTCCTCCCATCCTGGAACCGGCAGCCCTTCCACACCCTCCCTATCCTGAACCTGGAAGTCCCATGCTTCTCCCCATCCTTCTCTTTCTCACCCGGTCTAGGATACCCCCTCCCTTTTCTGGAACCCTTCCCTAACCATCCATCTCTTAATGTCTGCTGTCACTTGGGCATGTTTTCCTCAAGGGAGAAGGATTTTGGTTTTTGATGGCTGAGTACCTTCAGCAGACCCAATTCTGCCTCTCTTATCCCCAGTTCTCCCCACCTGGGGCTAGTTCCTTCTGCTTTGGGGGTGTGTAGCCCTAGTCTTTTTAATCCAGTGATTCATGATGTGGAATGCTCATTGCATTGATAACTGCAGATGCCTTAGGCTGCAAAGGAACAAGTGTCCTCTTGAAGCTTTTTTCCGTGGGAAGAGGGGCTGTGTCTCCCTTGGAATCCCTGCAAATTCACCAGTTGCCTGGGTTTAATAGCAAGAAGAATGTGTAAGATTTGGGGGACAGCCTGCTTGATCTTCTATGCTTAATCACCAACAAGAACAAATAATCCTTTGAAAGATATTTGAAGTCTACTCAAAATAGTGAGTTTAAGTGATTTTATCCTCTTTCTTAGAAAAAAAAGAAAGTATTTTCTTTCCTGGAGAACTGGAGTGCTAGTCTGGAGCATATGCTGATATTAACCCTGTGGGGAAGCACAAAGGCTCTGTGTACTGGCAGAGAGCCGGGCCTTCTCCAGCCCTGAGAACCGTGGTTCGCAGAGGTCCTTACAGGCTGGTTTCCATCCCTGCTGTGGTGACAGGGAGGCCCTGTCAGGGCCCTGCTTTGCTCTGGGACATTTGCACGTTTCTGCATTTCACACAAAAAGCTCCAACATATTTGACAGATGAATAAGAGTTGGTACATAGTATTATTCCGATTTTATACTCTGTGAAGCTGAGGCTCACGCTTTCTCAGAGTTACACAGCAAGAGGATTTCGATTCAGCCTCAGATTCTTGCTGCCTGTGTGCAAGGTCTTCACAGGTGGGATGGGAGCATCTCCCCGGGGGGCCTAGATGCTGCATATTTACAAAGAGCTTGTTTCCTGCAGCTGTATTTTCCTGTCTGTGCCACTCCGTATCCCTGGAGATGACAATATAACCCAAGATCTGGCTCCTGGCACCACATAGTGGGATAGGACTGTAGGGACCTGCCTGATCTGACCCTCTGATTTTAAAGATGGGAAAACTGAGGCACAGAGGGCGAGCTGGTTAGGACTCACTGCCCTGCATCTCTCTAACTGGGGTGTGTGTGTCAAGCCATGTTTACTTTCTTTCTTTTTTTTTTTTTTTAAGATTTCATTTATTTATTTGACAGAGGGAGAGAGTCCGCACAAGTGGGGGGGCTGAGAGAGGGAGAAGCAGGCTCCATCTCAGGACCTTGAGGTCATGACCTAAGCCAAAGGCAGATCCTTCACCTGCTGACAGGCGCCCCATCAAGGTGTGTTTCTTACTGGTACTCTTTTTTTTTTTTTTAATTTTTATTTATGATAGTCACACACACAGAGAGAGAGAGGCAGAGACATGAGCAGGCTCCATGCACCGGGAGCCCGATGTGGGATTCGATCCCGGGTCTCCAGGATCGCGCCCTGGGCCAAAGGCAGGCGCCAAACCGCTGCGCCACCCAGGGATCCCTCTTATTGGTACTCTTAACAAGCACCTTGAGGGCTGTCCAAAGTATTGGTGGTCACTGGGTCCTCTCTAGTCCCCAGGAGACTCTGCTTCTTGCTGCCTCCACACCCACAGCCTGACCGGAAGTCTGTGTTGGGCTTTAAAGCTAACACGTGCCCACTCCATGACTCCATGGGGACTTACAAGCCCGGGACATCAGGGAGCCCAATTTCATTTTCCATTCAGTACGATCTTTGGTTTCTGTTCATAAATATGTCTCATAAAGGTGGATGAGGTTTATGACTTGCTACCTCTTTAAAGATTAAGAAAAATAGGCACCTGGTGGCTCAGTGGGTTAGGTGACTCCTACTCTCAGCTCAGGTCTTGATCTCGGGTTGGTGAGTTCAAGCTCCACATTTGGGCTCCATGCAAGTCATGGAACCTACTTAAAAAAACAAAAAAAAAGATTAAGAAAAATATATTACCCTGAGCTCTCTCTTCACTTCTGTTGAGCTTTCATGAATCAGCTGAAACATTAGTCCCTCAAAGTGTCTCCCCCAGCATTTCTCCAGGACTCAAATGAGTGGTAAATTCTTGAAGGATGTATATTTATTTCTTGCCATGAATAGCAATTGGGAAAACCAGGATCATTTAACCTTGCCTCTCCTGGGCTCTCAGGACAAAGTTCTGGTAAACCTAGCATCAAGTAGATGTTTAAAATAAGTGTATAGAAATCAACAAAACTGGAATCCCTGGGTGGCGCAGAGGTTTGGCACCTGCCTTTGGCCCAGGGCGCGATCCTGTAGATCAGGGATCGAATCCCACGTCGGGCTCCTGGTGCATGGAGCCTGCTTCTCCCTCTGCCTGTGTCTCTGCCTCTCTCTCTCTCTCTCTCTCTCTCTCTGTGACTATCATAAAATAAAAAAAAAGAAATCAACAAAACTAAGCCACATTTGGGGGAATGACTAATATCCTAGCATACCAGGTGTAGTATGTCTCTCCTTTTCCAGCTAAGTGCAGAAAAAGTCCTCACCTCCATTCTGAAGACGTATAACTACTTGGAAGCCCACTCTTTTTTTTTTGTTTTTTAAGTGGGGAAAATGTGTTAATATGTGAAGTTATTTTTGAGAGGCCATTATTAAAACCTTTTCATGGGGAAGGGTTACTTTTTATTTTTTTAATTGAGGTGAGAAACTCAGTCAGGCATCACAGTGAATGCCTGTACACAGCCGTTGCCTGAGGCAAAGCTAATTCCCTAAATACAGCGTGGTCAGCGATTGATCCATTGATTGATCGGGTGACCCTGCAATGCTTTCAGTATACTTGTCCTCTTGGTGCCCTCCTGGGCAGTTCACCCCAGGAGACTGCTTCTCAGTGCCGTGGTGTTTGCTGTCCCCTTGACGGAAAGACCACCTGCCCTTCTGCTGGTGAAACATTTCTCCAGGCACCAGCGCTACAGATGACCAAGGAAACCCCCTTGGGCAGGCAGCAGCTAGACATTAGTGTTGACAAAAGTGTGTCCGAGATGAGGGTGAGCTCATTATCTCCCACCTTTCCCATCCTGCTTGTGCTGATTTACACACTGTCCTACTTTTTTTTTTTTTTTTTTTTTTGATGCCGTAACTTTTCACAGACCCTACTCTTCAGCTTGGGTACCTCATGTGAGCTGTCCACCAGACCCCACCTGCCCCTCTAGCCCCTCCAGCCTCTTCCTGTTCCTTCTGTGTAGAGTTCAAAAGCCAGGTGCCCCCTGGCCCCCAAAGCACTGGCACCTGTCCGCAGGCTAAGCCTCTTCAAGTGGCTCACCGCTGCACAGACCCAAGGCCTTCTCAACTCAACTCATTTTCAGCCCTGAGTTTCAAGCACAGAAATGACTAGTAGTCTGTCCTGCATTGGATGACGGTGTCCTGTGTCATGAGTTCCATGGGGCCCAGAATTCTTTTTTTCACCTCAGCCCAGTGGCTAGAGAAATAGCATTGCTAAGGAGCAGGCTTTGGCATCTCACCAGTGGCCCGGTCCTCCTCCATAAACTGGGATGATGGTAGCATGTGCTTGAGGAGGGGTGAAGACCAGTGAGGGAGCATCAGTACAGAGCCCTGGGCCCAGGAAGTGTGTATGTGCACAGACACAACACCCACACGCACACAGATGCCCACACAGACATACAGATGCACACAGACACACACGCACACATGCCACATAGACATACAGATGCACACAAACATGCACGCACACAGATGCCCACACAGACATACAGATGCATACAGACACAGATGCCCACACAGATATATAGAAGCACACACACATGCACATGTACATGGGTCTACCTGCCCCACTGTAGATGTTCTCTCAGGTCCCCTGGCCCTGTGTACCCTCTCCCAGGAATTGAATGGGGTCCATGGCCACCAGGAATGGCTGTGGGCCATTGGTGTTCTGGGAGGCCCTGTTAGTCCTGTGGCCCCAGCTGGTGAAGCTGAACTTGCTGGGTCTCAGTGGGAGGTCCCCTTTTCAGTGACTGGGGACTGCCTTTTTAGCTTGCCTGTAGTTTTGTTCATGGCTCTCCACACAGATGAACTTGCAGATGAATGTTGATGGGCACTGTCCAGCGATGGTGTCCCCCTGACATGCTAGGGAGAAGTGAGAGCTGCTTGGAAGGATGAAATCCTGCTTCTGGAGCAGAGAATATTCCCCTCCTGGCAAATCTCACAGAATATTTCTGGTTGAAATATTTTCTTTCAGTCAGGTCCTGCTCATATAGCTTTTATTCTGGGTTCTTGACTCCTCACCCATGCTGCCCCAGCAAGAATGACACCCATTCTTGCTGTCACATGGGATCCTTGGCGCTCCGGGGCTTTTGTTTTTGTTTTTGTTTTTGTGGCATCTTGGGAGGGTCACCCAGTCAAGACGTAGCATAGAGATGAAGCCAAGCCACCCAGGGACTGGAGGGCACTTTGTTTTACAATCCAGGGTGATAGCAGCTGATGTTTTCAGGCCCTTGCAAGGATGTGCTGGGGGCAGTAATGGGCTTACTCTTGTTTACAGCCTTGACACTGTTAGGATCCCCATTGTGCAGATGAGAAGACTGAGGTTCCCAGAGCTAGTCCCAATGGGGGACTAGCTGGGCTC